GGATAATAAAAATAAAAATTGCATATAAAAAATGTATAAGTTTATTTGACGATAAGTTTCTACTCATATTATTTTAGTGAAAACATCTAGTACCAGAGTATAGACGTGTGTTTACAGCTCTTAACATAACTTTTTTTACAAGAATTATATAAGTGATCTGCATCTATCTCTTCCTCTGATAAACACGCTCAACACATAATTTCACAGTCTATGATTTTATTACAGAAATCTTCTAAATAGTGCCTAACTCAATATTGAATGCACAAAATATACAAAGTACAAGTAGGGGTAGGTCCTGTGTTGGTCTCCAAATATCTGCGTTGTGCAGTGATTTATACACATCGGCGTACGTCAGCAGAAGGCACATTTCATGTCGTCGCCATGCCAGCGCCGCTAAATTGAACCTGATAAATGCCCAAACATAACGAATCTATATACAAACATAATATGTTGATCTGTACACACATGAGAGAATTAATAACAGAGTGACATATTGACAGACAAATACATTAAATTTCATTCATTAGGTTTTAATCCCTGTATTAGATGAATTACAGTTTAATTGATGTAGGCAATATAAGTGTTGCAAATGTAAATAATTACTATTTAGTGTGCAGTCTACATATTAATTTATCTAATAATGATATTTTTATACTATGGCTTGCACTTTTCACTTCCACATACAAAGACGAATGTGTCGTTAGGTAACGTGAAAAACACATAAGTCATATTCAGTTCGCATTTTTTTTATAAGTAATAAATATATAAAAGATTATTTGTAGTTACATTTGCAAAAATCAGATAAATTGCTCGCAACAATTAATTTAAGTAAGTTTCAATTCATAGTTTTACAATTAATAGCCAAAATAAGATAATTATAAAGTACCTTTACATATATTGTTTTAAAAAAAATATATGTGCATTAAATATTACAACTTTTAGTTTTGTATGGACCAATGGTATACATAATTCGTGATGAGAAAGACGGGGTGGTCTCAGTGTATCTAACTAAATTCATTCGACTTAACCTCAAAACTGAGACTAGTCCGGACATTGGTAATCGAGTTGTAAACGGCGATCGCTCAGAGGACCGTCCTTAGTTACAGTTTAAGAGCTGAGACGACAGACAAAGAGACGATGGTATTAATCGAGTTCATGTGCCATCGTAATTAAATCTATGTCCAGACTAGCTTGGATCTTCGTCTAAACACTAAACAAGACTAAATTCATCAACATCTATGGCTACAAACATCAAAGATAAAAGGGTTAATTATTTTGTTACAATTAAAATTAATGAAGATAAAGTATAATGTAAAATTATTTAGAGTATCAATAAAGGAAGTAAAATATAGTATACAAGAAATTTTATATTACAGTAATGGATATTAGGATATGTGGTAAAATGGAAATTAGAAAAGTGAAAAATGTGAAAAATTGATGATGATGATGGTAATTAAGTACATTTACATGTATTATTATTAGTAGTGTTAATCCAAATAGACCTTGATATGTGCCAAGTGTTGAATAAAATTTCTATGGATGGTTTTACACCAATAAAACACTGTCTATTGAAATATTAGTGGTAAAATTATAACTTCTTCTCTACAAATCTTCATATTACCAATAAATGTGGCTGCATTATTATTTGGAAATATAATTCGGAGATCTAATGAAGATTTATTTGGCTCCGTAATATTAGGTTTTGTAGTAGTTTGACGTCAATTTACGTACAATGTCAATTTGCTCACGAAGTGCGCCCAGTCTGGACACAGGGCCTCATTAGGGGCGAGCGGTTGCAATTAAACTGTACGTCTTTTGCGCCTTAACGACCGGCCAAATTGGATGCCCTCCGTCCTGGTCACGGCCTTTAATAAATATACGCTTCGATGTCGAATTATATATAAATATATTGTGATTCTAACACATTAGCCTTTATATCGGAAGTTATCAAAACAATGGCAGAAGACAGAGAATGTGTTAATTTTATTAATTATAGACGTAGTCAACAATATTTTAGTATAGATAAGTTTATAGACACAAGATACATTATAGTTGAAAATAATAGTTGTAATATTCGATTCGAAGTACCAAATATGTTAATAATTCTATAATTTATCAGATTACCATAAGTCATTACTCTTTTTCATCCCTAGGATGTTGTGAGTGTTAATTAGAGCACAAACTTAAAATACATCGACTCGACTAAGCCATCTGGTTAACGTGGTAATAGAAATATTAATAATGCTGCTGTTATGAGGAAAGTCTTCCCCAGGAGTGGGACAATAAAGAGATGATAAATAATGAACACTAACATATTTTAAATACTGCTCTCTAAATCAGATATTATTAACCCAATCATTGTAAAGGTTATCAAGGTAAAATAAATGACATACAATCAATCAATGACTATGGACCATTATAATAATGGGAAGTGGTTAATGAATGACTATGCATTATTGTTAGCGTATAAATTTAACGGAAATATTAACAAGTTGGCAGTTAGTTGCCATGAAAAGAGTTAACATGAAAGTGTTGGAGTGGGTAAGAAGTTGGTATTTTGCAGGGTGCCTCGTTAGTGGCGCGGCGGCGGCAGGCGGAGGCTGATTGCCGATTGAGCACCAATTGCCTTGATTGATGGAGCCCGCACGCGTACTAACGAACCTGCTTTCAACAGATAGCTGGACGTGCCTTATGCTACATGCACATGATTTTTCAAGACTGCAGATTTGAGTAGTGTGAGAGTAGTAACTGAAATGTTATTGGTAAACATACTCAGCTAAATGGGCAGTCATGATTGATGATAATTTGATACAAATATTTGTGTTAAGAGTACACAGTACAATCCCAATAATGTTTCGAGTTGGACGTACTCGTTATTAATAATATATATTTACAAAATAATAATAAAATTTATATCATTGCAACACAATTGAAAGAATTTTCGAGAAAGTAAATAAAAAATTAGTGGCTCCATGGTATTCATGTTATTAAAGTTATTATATTACGATTATTAAAGTTTATAGTTTAAAGTCAGTAAGTAGGGAAGTTGCTGTAATATGATTTCGGCTGTGGTCGCTTTTTAACACTATTTTTTTCAGTTACACTGAATTCTTCCATTATAATGGAATATTTATTTAAAACCATAAGTACATTGGATACGGTAATACACTATTATGGATTACACATACGGTTTTACACAATACATAAATTTGTACGTCATTTAGTAAACAATGCAGATGTTATAAATCATTATAAAATTAGAATTAAGCCAGCTTAATGTTTGTGTATTGCTTCCGTTTCCATACGCCACATAGACGGGAATACCTCAACGACTAATTTTGTGCGCACACAGTAATCAGCAGCACGAAACATCATCGGCGTCTTTGTGGAGCAAGACCGCAATCCATCATACCGGGACAAAAGGCGGCGGATAAACGTGGCAGTTGTTTGCGTGAGAGAGCGTTAATTTTGTTAAGGAGTCTCAATCAGGGAAGGCGTGTAAGTAAAGTCGGCGGCGGCCGCCGCGGGAGCGATTCGAGCGAATTACCGTACCTGGAGGCGCGGGGGCCGACTCGTTAGTTGTTGTTTGCCGAGTGACGCGGGTCAATCAGCAGAGACATGCACGGAACCGCACTTCTTCATCCCCCTCTGTCGCCCCCGCCCCGCTCGTTAGGCCGCGCCGTCTCTGTCAACTGTGAGACGACCTTTATCGAATCTACGACGCACGACCCGCGCCGCGGTTGGCCCACTCTTCGTTCTAGTTTGGCTCACAACCGCCGGTAAACAAGGGAAATCAGTGTAAAACGAATTTATATGAACGTCAAATAGAGGGATCGAATGTCGAAGAGAAAATTTGTGAGCATCTTAATCCTAATGCATGTCGAATTAGATAGAAAGAACGTGTCACGTGGACGGATGCGCAACGTCCGTGTGATTAAGCGTTAAAGCAAATGGGGCGATTTTCATGTGTTTAACTAATTATCGTAGAGGACTGGCCCAAGGAATTCTAGGTCCCAGTGTACGCTGCATCTTACTTATCGAAGGCAAAATTTTGCTTCATAATAAGTGTACGTTTAGTCTCAATTTTCTTTATATCCAATATATAGTAAATGACAGTAGGTGTCATTGTTCGAAAGACACCAAGTGTTTCTGTAAGTCTTACTGAAATACACCATTATTTAAACTGTTAAAAACTATAAATCAAAATGACATTCTATGAAACATAACATCGTGTCAACAATAAATGTCTATGTCGATATCAGACACAATATTTAATAAATAATGAAACATAATATAAACACAAATTTTGCTTAACATTATTAAGTAAATAAATGTATGTAATAACAACGAGTGCGTATACTTATAATATATTTGAATTAGTGGAACAAACTTTGTAAAGATTAATTAACGAAGAGTCGAAGTAAAAACTTTGTTACCTACATCCCAAATTAAACCTAACGAGGCCAATTTAGCGGGACATAGAGATGCCGTCGATCGCGTTGTGTGCGAAACAGTGGGTTTTTTGTATCTCTTCCAGGTAGAAAACACACAACGGTTCAGAGCATTTTCATAACAATGCGCCTGCGGCTTTCTCGGTATATTTTTTTGGGTGTTCAATGCGTTTGACAGACAAGCTATTGTCATCGTAAGATGACGGACTAAAAACTGTCCTTTGTTGATGATCAATGAGAAACGATCGATAGGATCTGGATATCAAATGCCAGACCATAAGAGGAACTAATTAGAGTGAGAATCGTTAAGAAGCCAAAGTTTTAGCCTTAATTGGGATATAAGAAATATTAATTAGAAGCAACTAGCGAGAGCAACGTCGGTTACGTTGCCCTCGCTAGTTGTTCCGTTTTAGATAAATTGTATATAAATTCAATTAGGTAATTTGATTGTGTAATTGTAAGTGCATTGCTCCGAATAATGTCTTCGTTATTACATCCGCAGCTAGTCAACTATCTAAAAACTAATTTAACATACAAATATCCACTCACCTCGTATAGTCGTTTTTGCATAGTATCATCCCGCTTTTGAAATAAAAAGAGCGCCCCATATCTGCAAGTGCTTGTCCGCAACATGCACATTTTAAGCATCCGTGATGCCAATATCTGTCTAGTGCGTGTAGAAGGAACCTCTCGACGATCTTGCCGCCGCAGCCCGCGCATTCTTTGAGTGCCGGGTTGTTGTTGTTGTGGGGGTAGTCGTGCCCGTTGGCGGCAAATGCCGCCTCCGGAGAGGGCGGGTGTGGTGAGCTCAGCTCCGCGTACCCGTGGTAATGCGGGTTCATGCTCAACGCGCTCGCTGCCAGCTTGACGGTTGGAGCGGGAACCGCTCGCACCGACCACCACAACTACACGCCCTGCAACAAACAAGGAATCCACTTATTATTTGGTTTACACACATACATATACCCGTATTATTAAAACTCTTAATTATGTATATGATCACTGGCAAGTTAATGTGATTAACACCGATATAATACTACGTAATATACAAAGCCTTAAAGTAAATGAGATTACAAGTTCCATTTTTGGGGCAAACAACTGATCAATTTTGAAAAGTTAACTACACAATCAGTTGTTAAACTTTTCATTACGGCCTTAAGTTGGAATATGGTGTTGTGGATTACTGATTGATTAAAAATATATTTTTGAGCAAAAATGTCATTAATTATATTGTAAAATCGTAAACAAGATATATTAATTGCGACTCGTTAACAGCGCCTCGAAGAGGTTTGACCCTTTGATTTAATTTTTCTTCACAGCCCTTGGTCAGAGCACAACAGATCCGGGGATAGGCCTGCGGGCGGCCGCGTTTATAAAATTTTCCAATTAGCAATTTCATACAATTAGGAGCGGTAAGGGTAATAGAGGGAAGGGAGGGGGTACGGGACGGTGAGCGCGGGGCGAGAGGCGAAGAGTGCGTCAACCCGATCCAATTAGCTCGCGGCCGGCGGAGCGACGGGACGCCGTCTGAGCGGCCCTGTCGCCATAAAACTTAATTAAACGTTTTAAAACAAGTATTCATTAAAGAATAATCAAGCTTATGTAGTCATAAATAACCGGATTGTCCCGCGCGGAACGGGTGCCGTAATTAAGACTGCACAGAGTTGATCAAACGCACTGATTTGAAACTACCCTTCATTAAGAGAGCGCGAGGCGGGCGCGGGAGCTTCCGCTGCGGTGCAGAAACTAATTAAGAATAACGGACGCTTTAAAAGCGTAATTAATTTAGATTGTAATTCTATTTCTCTGAGAGTAAAGTAGACAATTATTTCAGTAGCCCATTCTTTTGGAACGATTTGCTTTGCTGAATGTAATTTGCCTAATTTCTGTGTCTGACATAATAAAAGGGTTGTAACTCCGTCCAGATTAATTTATTTCTGTTGAAATGACGAACTGATGAAATTAGAAACAATACCGGGACGAGAGTTTATCGGTGTCTAAGCGTCTAATAACAGTACGAGTTATGTGTCACTGGACAGTGATGACGGTGATTTAGACAGTCGGTTTGGAGAGCGTGTTTAAAACCATTACACTTGTTGTCGGTCATGTCTAATGAAGGTTTAAAGGGCCTGGTATTTGTGGCGTGTAAAACAGCCCACCGCGCAACCTGCATTGCGTGTCTACTAATGAGCGCGCGTCGCGTGCGCACCTATCGCACTTCGTTAAATCGTACCCGCTCCGATCTACAAAAGCTCTACTAATGTCTTTGTTTTGTTAATTTTGCAATCACAAGTTTGGGGTAGAGGAAATGTCTATAATTTCTAGACGATTCTAAATTGTCTTTTTGTGTGCTTTTATGTGCGCAACTTTTACGGTCTTATTACAAAAAATCTGTTAAAACTCGGACGAAACGTGGTCTAAATGGTCGAGGTTTAAACCATTCCTAAAGTTAATACTTGGAATAAACCTAACATTATTACGAATGCAGATCTAACAGAGGACTACTTAGTACTACAGTTAAATCGTTCATTATGTATTCCATACAGAAATCAGTCACTCATGTCTGTCAGCGTACAATTACGTTCCGTTTTACCAGAAAACTGAAAAGATCAAAAATAATATTAGTTCAAAGAAATGGTATAAACTAAAAATAAATTTATTTCTATTTATCTATGTCTTCATTATAACTATTTCATTAATATATAATATTTATTAATGTACTATTAAGCTGAAAATCAGTTTTAAATTACAAGTAGGAGTCCTATACGGAGAAAAAGAACGGCGAGATATTTTTATTGGATCGTTCGAATGGTGACTATTTCAAAGTCAAATGAGTGAAAAAATAACAAATAACGTCTTTTATATATTCTTATTGTCGTAAAATTTGTTTTAAATATTTTTAGTTAATATATTTTTAATTTAGTTTAATTTTTTTTCCAACTAATTTTTTTTTACAACTTTCAATAGAATTTTTAAAATGGGTTTGACTTTTTGCATTTAGACCACTGTTAAACTAGGGGCATCGCAGGTCTAACTTTAGACCATAGACGAATCACGATTTAGAGATAAACTTAATTTTGTAATAAGGAATACATCGGTGAATGGTTTATTACTAGTGCTAAACCAGGTTTATCTTTTTGTAATAAGGCTGTTAAAGTTTAAACAGAATCTTGAGCACGTAAACAAACAAGATCCACATGAAGTAAGTAACCATATTAATGATAGATAATTTGTCAAATTAAAGTAAAATACGCAATAAGTTATGATATTTATAATTTATATGTTTTTATAAATACCATAACTTATTCATTATGTTACTTTAATTTGATTTTCTTAGAAAACGACGCAAACGTTTGATGTAGAAATTACCATTGAGATCATTATAGACTTTACATGTGACAGAATATTCCTGATTGTTATTTACAATATTTCTTTACGGTTCTGTATAATAAGATCGACATTAAATTATAACTAACTATAAAGTTGATACTTGATATCATAAAATCGTGGTAATCCGCTTAAGTTTATGTAGGTATTATTACATTAGGCGCCGTTATAATAAATTGTGAATATCTAGTTTAAAATTCTTTGCTCATAAATAAAAAAATAATAATAATGTCAGCTCAGGAGACACGAAACAAACTGTCCATAATTACTTGAACTTATGTCAATTCAAATACTAGCAAAGTGTGGATTATGCGAATTGTATTGTAGTATTATACACATAGGGTTGTTTATTAGATTTGCTCGCGTAACTCGGTGCGTGTTTAGCCTCGCGGGGGTGGCCTGGGAACTAGCAGGTGTCGTTTTCATTATTCAAGCCCCATTGATTGGATACTTTGTTGCCGTTTAAAAATCTTATTAGCAACCACCCGACAACAAAGCGCGCCAGCGTTGAGACTCCTCCCGACCCTCTATTTACCTGTTAAGTGATTTTTTTTCAATTACAACGATGAACTGCACATTCAAATGTTTAACGCAAAAATGTAAGTCATCTTGTTAGTGAATTTTTTTTATTTCCGAGTCCTCCTTTGCCTACGTTTGAGTATTTGTCAGCGGCAATAAGGGCGATGAGTTAACGAAAATTTGAACAGCTGTAAATTAAAACCCGCTTCGTAAGAGACTTTATTATCTATGCTACAGTTGATGAGATTAAAATAATGTATGTTTGTACAGTAATACATGACCAAATTAAAGACAAACATAAAGCACTTTATTAAAATATATACAATATTATTTATGTATACTATATATATAATCAGGGAAAATATGATTTATTATTTGTAATAGACAAAATCAAAAAATCCTAATCTAATTAAAAAAAAATTTAAATCGATACACTGAACATCAGAATACAGTATTAGCGAGTAGGTAATATAGGATATATGTATATTAAATAATATATATATATATATATATATATATATATATATATATATATATATATATAATATATAAATAAACCTAGCAGATAATATAAGATATGTGTATATTAAATAAAATAAAGTGAGAACCCTCCAACAAAGGACGATACCAGGCCTTTGATTAATAGCAATAGAATTTTTGGGTAATGGGACGATAATCGATTAATATCAAAAGTTCTCTATTGCAAGACCTACATTAATAAAAGCAAAAACCTTATCGGTCACTGATTGTACGGGACTTGGGAACAGCAGCCACGAATAACGTAATTAAGGCGAAACCGCCAGCGAAATTAAACGCGAAAACGGAATGAGAATGTGAGCCTAATTAGAGGTAGGGGGAAGACGTTGCACCAAACTCCCCGCTACCCGCCACACCCTGCAATCACCCAAAGTCCTGCACGGGGACGAGACGTACCCCAATCTACAGACAGTTCACCTAATCACAGTCACGCACGTCATGCACTAATGAGTACAGACTGAGTTAGTGCTATTGTAGCTAACGGTAGTTTTAACATACACGTATTATAATATATATTATTGACGGCCTCGGTGGACTAGTGGTTTAGCACATCGGTTTACTTCCGATGGTTGCAGGTTTCATTCCTGTCACGGTATAAACATTTGTATTCATGAGTTTGATTGTTTATATCGGTTTGGGTATTTTATATGTATATAATAGTATTTACAAAAAAAGTCATATATTTATATCAGTTGTCTTGTACCCATAACACAAGTTCTGCTTAGCAATTTCCCAAGAATAGGCTCTGTGTGAGTTGTCCCAAAATATTATATTATTTTTATAAATAAAATTTATAGGTGTATATTGATGGATGATATGACATGATGGTTAAGTGGTAAACGTCGCCTATATGGGTACATAAATAGCACTCCGGACATCACATTATCATGTGACACGTCCCGTGATATAATTCATGTTTCCATTCCGGAAGGCTATGTCGTGTACCTTTTAATTTCACTGCCTTATCTCACCGGATAAACTAAACACAATTTAAAAAGCAAGCTGTTTGGCGACTGAATAAGATACCCATGCCGAAGACTTTTTACAAAGCCAGCTTTGGTACCTTCTATAGCTTCTAGTTGCAAAATGAAATACTTTACGTTTATTTTAGATAATGAAATATTGAGGTATTAGGTATTGCACCTTGGTTTGAAGATAATAGTTGCATGGGTTTGCAGTGATAGCGTTATCTATAAGATTACACACCTATATATCTAAGTGCACAACGCAAGGTGAACTGTGTTTGCCAAGTGCATTGATCTACAGACATTTATTATAGCCATTCTGTCATTCATATTTTGCACGCAATTTGGTAGCTATTGTTATTAATATTCATCTCCTGGTCATTGTACTTTTACTGTCAATAGATGTTTGACATTGATCTTCTGTTAACAGTAATAAATACAATTCAGCGTTCATTATATATTAGACTAGCTGTGTAACTTCGTCTGCATCAGACTTACTTGACATT